TGCGTTGGTCACATTGTGTATTTACCAACCATGCTTTCATGTTGTCACCAGGAAGTGAACACAACAGCTTGTAATGCAACAGAAACACTTTGCAATATATATATATATATACTGGGTGTATAAAATAATACTAGCGGACGGAATGAAAAGAATAAGAAGAACACCTTCACAGTGCAGTATAGCACTCAAAATGTACCCTCAAAATGTACTCTCAAACACAACAAAAGGTGAAATTGCATTTATTATCTTTAATCCTTTAACTCTAATTCATGTCGTCCAGAAAACACTAAATTGTGCAAATTCTTATGTTGAATCTCTTGACGTTTGTTCAGCCATTTGTTGAAGAACAGGCCGAGTGAAGCAGGAGTAGACTTTCATTTAAATAATCTGATTCTGATCGTTGTTTTTATTTTATTTTGGGTGAGCTGAACATGTTTCTAATAACGCTTTCACAGAGGAAATTTGTTTTGTGAGGATCACGTGGCAGATTCAATCAATTTCTTACTCTCTAATTCCTAATGGGGGGGGGGGGAAAGTGATCCTTTGCTTCAGTTTGCTTCTGTCCATCTAGTGTCTTTGTGATCTGCTCTGCCTGTTTGTGCCGTTGCCCACTGAGAGCGTTCACAACCAGGTGACAAGAAGTAATGGCAGACAGTAAAGGCCAGCCAAGGGATTCTGGAAAATATATGAAAGTGGCACATTGCTGCTGTCCTCTCTCTTTCTCTCTCTCTTTCTTTCTCTCTCTCTCTTTCTTTCTCTCTCTCTCTCCTTTTCTCTCTCTCTCCTTTTCTCTTTCTTTCTCTCTCTCTCTCCTTTTCTCTTTCTCTCTCTCTCTTTTTCTCTTTCTCGCTCTCTCCTTTTCTCTGCAGCAGTGGACACAGGGAGGATATGACATAAGTGAAACTTAAAGACCCTTCTAATTGGTCATGGAGAGCAGGGCAGGGCTGTTAAGGGAGGAATGGCAGGAAGGAACAGGGAAGGGAAAAGCAGACGGCAGGATCACTAAGTGCCTATTACAGATCCTGACCTCCCCTCAGATTCAATATACGTGGATTTTGAGGTGAATGAATTCACATGCTTTGTGATTCCTCACATGTATTTGTTGAATGAAGTTACAGCTGCAATTCCAGTGAGACCACAGCAAATGATTGCAGCAGTGTGCCAGACAGAAGAGTCAACTTGAGATTAGATTTGGTTTCACTTATAAGGCCAGTCGGAACAAAGACAGTTTGAGTCAGCTGGTACCATATCACGCTTCTTACTACATTCATTCTGCTGCAGCCAGTAAGGACACACTTCAACATCTACTGTATTGGCTAGTCCCCAGACTTAAGATAGAATATGGTCTCAGTCTTTTTTCCAGCAGCGGCCCCGCCTTCTTCTCTAGCTGGTCTTCAGTTTGCGTCCTTCTTTGCACTCTCTCCGACTTGTCTAATCGGTCGACGGCACATTCTTCTAAATCAGCTGAAGGACGTCTCTGTGCCTGTGTTGAAAGAATCATC